TATATAGGAATATATAGGAAAAATCTTCAAAAATCTTCTTCTCAAGAACAGCAAAGCCATGATTGGTCATATTTACTTGGAAGCATCCTCAGGTAGTGTAGATTCAAGTTTGTTCAAATCAAGACCCCCGGGGGTAGGGTGGGGCCACAATGGGCGATCAAAGTTTTACATAGGAATATATAGGAAAAATCTTTAAAAATCTTCTTCTCAAGAACAGCAAAGCCATAATTGGTCATATTGACTTGGAAGCATCCTCAGGTAGTGTAGATTCAAGTTTGTTCAAATCATGACCCCCGGGGTCGGGTGGGGCCACAATGGGCGATCAAAGTTTTGCATAGGAATATATAGGAAAAATCTTTAAAAATCCTCTTCTCAAGAACAACAAAGCCATCATTGGTCATATTTACATGGTAGCATCCTCAGGTAGTGTAGATTCAAGTTTGTTTAACTCATGACCCCCGGGGGTCGGGTGGGGCCACAATGGGCGATCAAAGTTTTACATAGGAACACATAGTAAAAATCTTCTTCTCAAGAACAGCAAAGCCATGATTGGTCCTATTTATATGGTAGCATCCTCAGGTAGTGTAGATTCAAGTTTGTTCAACTCATGACCCCCGGGGGTCGGGTGGGACCACAATGGGCGATCAAAGTTTTAAATAGGAATATATAGGAAAAATCTTTAAAAATCTTCTTCTCAAGAACAGCAAAGCCATGATTGGTCATATTTACATGGAAGTATCCTCAGATAGTGTAGATTCAAATTTATTCAACTCATAACCCCCGGGGGTCGGGTGGGGCCACAATGGGCGATCAAAGTTTTACATAGGAACACATAGTAAAAATCTTCTTCTCAAGAACAGCAAAGCCATGATTGGTCCTATTTATATGGTAGCATCCTCAGATAGTGTACATTCAAATTTGTTCAAATCATGACCCGCAGGGGTCGGGTGGGGCCACAATGGGCGATCAAAGTTTTATATAGGAACACATAGTAAAAATTCTAAAAAAAAAACAATTTGTTAAGAATAGCAAAGCCATCATTGGTCATATTTATATGGTAGCATCCTCAGATAGTGTACATACAAATTTGTTCGAATCATGACCCCCGGGGGTCGGGTGGGGCCACAATGGGCAATCAAAGTTTTACATTGGAACACATAGTAAAAATCTTCTTCTCAAGAACAGCAAAGCCATGATTGGTCATATTTATATGGTAGCATCCTCAGGTAGTGTAGATTCAAGTTTGTTCAACTCATGACCCCCGGGGGTCGGGTGGGGCCACAATGGGCGATCAAAGTTTTAAATAGGAATATATAGGAAAAATCTTTAAAAATCTTCTTCTCAAGAACAGCAAAGCCATGATTGGTCATATTTACATGGAAGTATCCTCAGATAGTGTAGATTCAAATTTATTCAACTCATGACCCGCGGGGGTCGGGTGGGGCCACAATGGGCGATCAAAGTTTTACATTGGAACACATAGTAAAAATCTTCTTCTCAAGAACAGCAAAGCCATGATTGGTCCTATTTATATGGTAGCATCCTCAGATAGTGTACATTCAAATTTGTTCAAATCGTGACCCGCGGGGGTCAGGTGGGGCCACAATGGGCCATCAAAGTTTTATATAGGAACACATAGTAAAAATTCTAAAAAAAACAATTTGTTAAGAATAGCAAAGCCATGATTGGTCATATTTATATGGTAGCATCCTCAGATAGTGTACATACAAATTTGTTCGAATCATGACCCCCGGGGGTCGGGTGGGGCCACAATGGGCAATCAAAGTTTTACATTGGAACACATAGTAAAAATCTTTAAAAAAAACAATTTGTTAAGAATAGCAAAGCCATGATTGGTCATATTTATATGGAAGCATTCTTAGATAGTGTACATTCAAGTTTGTTCGAATCATGACCCCTGGGGGTCGGGTGGGGCCACAATGGGTGATCAAAGTTTTACATAGGAATACATAGGTTAAATCTTTAAAAATCTTCTACTCAAGAACACCAAAGCCATGATTGGTCATATTTAAATGGAAGCATCCTCAGATAATGTAGATTCAAATTTGTTCAATTCATGACACCCCCCCCCCCCCCCCCACACACTTTTATATTTAAACTTTTCAACCTTTCAAGATTGAAGTGATTTCTGCTTTTTCCTAGTCATAGTGCTCAGGTGAGCGATGTGGCCCCTGGGCCTCTTGTTTTTAAAATTAACAATTCAGTGACAAGTAGATTGGGTGGCGCCATTATAAGAGTGAAGGCCTCACTTTGTACTAAATTGCAAAGTAAGGAGTTGATCCTTATGTTTTGGGATCAAATCCCACAAATCCTACAATGGGATGTTAAGACTGGTCGATGAGAACTAATAAACCATTGAATCCCCATTTTGCTGTAGATACAAGTAGGAAAAAAATCTCTTGTTAATACAGAAGTACGGTTATATGGTCTGTAAAGGATGATGTGACATACAGCCCCCGGTAAATTGACAAAAAATTAAATATATAAATTTTACTCTAATTTTTGCATGCACTTAATCACTGACATTTTTACCCTCATAAAATACTACTTCTACCAAAAATAGAAACATAATTTGGAAGATATATGTCTTTATTTTGAGTAGGGGTACCATGTTTACATCCAATTCCCATTGAATTTTGGCCCCGCCCCACTCTTTGAAGCCCTTAAAATATACGAGCGCAAGTAGGTACATTTTTCTCCTTTGGCTGGTCACTGTATTTTATTGAAATCTACCTATATGTGAAAGAAGAAAAATGTACCTAACTGCGCTCACATGTTGTTTTTAAAAAATTGTAAAATCTAGCCGGCCTTTCCCATTATGACCAGATCGTCGAAACCATTTTTTCTGACGTAAGAATAAATTCATATGCTAATCGAGGCTCTGGTGATACTTTCTAACTGACCAATCAGCTAAATGAGTTGCATTACTAGTGAGTACCACAAAAATACTAAGGACATTTTATGCTTGGAAAAAAGGTTGTATTTTTTTACCTGCTTTCCGATAAACAATTTTTTATGCATTTGAGTCACAAATTAGACACGGATCTACACTTTCCCAGCTCACATTAACAAACAATTGATTTATAAATATACATAGTTCAAAGTTTGTAAAGCGTTTGATGGGCAATTCGCTAGGTCTACACGTATTCCCGAGAATCAGTGAATAGGAGTTTCATGTGCATTTCTTGACCAAAAACGGTAAACACTGAGGTTCCATGCGTATTATTTTGTTTTTGTATAACTAGTCTTGGCTGACCATTAAAAGTTTGAAATGTAGTAGAGATATTGTGTGAGTTGGCCTAAACCACGTGCCTGTGATGAAAAATAAACATGTAGTAAACCAGCATGTTTTGTCGTTCTGTCATCGGATTGGACAATTGTTCTCGGTAAGCGACTATGTGCGAAATAATAACAATAGCCATATAAGGTAGATTCCTCGGACATGCATATCCCTCTATTGTACTAAGACCCGCCTATTCTCTTTTCATAAAAGAACATATTGTCACAAACCAGGCCGAATTTTGCTGTCATAGGGTCTAAAAAATCATAGATAATGCAGTAATCTTTATAATTAAAAATGTGTCGGAACTATCTAAACTATTCAAAAGGCGTTGTATTTATTCACTCATGTTTGAAAACTATCAAAATCATTGTAGATTAAATATAATTCGTCGTAGAAAAAGGGGCCCCAGATAGCAGTTATGTCACATCATCCTTTGCTAAATCTATGGTCTGTAAATTTGCTAAATCTATTTGTAGAGTCCGTAGCCCTTTTGTAAGTAGGATTTGTGTGGCTAAATATTCTTTTAAAAATATTCCAATGCTAATCATTGTAAATGGATTGATAGTATGTATCACAAGAAGGATCATGTATATTTAGAAATATGTTGTAACCACAAACATAACAGGACAGACTACAGAAGCAAGCCTTTAGTTGAAAAATGTTAATTTTCAGATATTTTATTTTTAATTACAGTGGTATTTGTATTTAAAAACATAGCATTTGTTCGAATAAACATATTTTTGTATTGTAGTTATTGTATCAATAATGTATATGACTTTTTCTGGAAGTTATTATATTGGGACTACGGACTATACAGGGCTACGGAAACCAATCATTCTTCTATAACTTCTTTCGGTGTTAGCACAAAAGCTATTCATTACTGTTTTTTACTTTATTGGAAACTGCGAAAATATTAAACAAGAGCATGATTAATTCTACATTCTTTTGTTGAAAACAAACTACAATGAAATATGGGGCTACGGACTATACAAAATATTAGACCAGTATGGAAAATAAAATACAAAATGCGCACACATTTTACAATATAACCACTATATTTTTCTTATACTACTTTTTATTCTTAAGTTAAATAAAACTTTTTAAACAAATTATATTTGCTCTTTTTTGATAGAAATTATACATCTATTCAAACACTGATAAATCTTAAATTATATAACAAAGGCGTACCTGCACACTTTTATTCATAATTTCCACAATTTTTATCCTTTTTCTTTTCTGTAAAAAATAAACTTAACCAGAATGATTTCTCTATAATAAAGTACATTTATTTTGGGATGCTTCATTCAAAATAATTTATATTAACCATTATTTAAAATGTAAGAAATCAAGTGCAACAGCATATATATATATATGATATTATATACCAATGGAAAGCTCTCATTCTGATCTTTGCAATGCAACAAAAGACATTTATATTATATGTAACTATAAAGAGTTACATCTATATAACATCATTTAGTTGGAAATGGGCACCTGATCTTGGCCAAGCCGATATGTATCTAGAAAATGTAGAGCATTGTTAGTGGTTTCATTTTACTAAAGTCATTTGATAAACATAATTCTAATGAGATTGACAAAGCTAGTTTTTGTTCATGATTACCAGATTCTGAAGTATTTACAAGTTAGCTTGTTGTTCATAACTCCATACAAACATGTCATGGTATTTCATTGTCAGGGAGGAAGAGGAGGAATACTTGAAGTTGTCTGCCCTTGACAGACAGAGAGTAGAGCAGGAGCGGATAAAACTAGAGGAACAGATACAGGAGGTCAGTAGATCAATGTTAATCTGACAGATACAGGAGGTCAGTAGATCAATGTTAATCTGACAGATACAGGAGGTCAGTAGATCAATGTTAATCTGACAGATACAGGAGGTCAGTAGATCAGTGTTAATCTGACAGATACAGGAGGTCAGTAGATCAGTGTTAATCTGACAGATACAGGAGGTCAGTAGATCAGTGTTAATCTGACAGATACAGGAGGTCAGTAGATCAATGTTAATCTGACAGATACAGGAGGTCAGTAGATCAATGTTAATCTGACAGATACAGGAGGTCAGTAGATCAATGTTAATCTGACAGATACAGGAGGTCAGTAGATCAATGTTAATCTGACAGATACAGGAGGTCAGTAGATCAATGTTAATCTGACAGATACAGGAGGTCAGTAGATCAATGTTAATCTGACAGATACAGGAGGTCAGTAGATCAATGTTAATCTGACAGATACAGGAGGTCAGTAGATCAATGTTAATCTGACAGATACAGGAGGTCAGTAGATCAATGTTAATCTGACAGATACAGGAGGTCAGTAGATCAGTGTTAATCTGACAGATACAGGAGGTCAGTAGATCAATGTTAATCTGACAGATACAGGAGGTCAGTAGATCAGTGTTAATCTGACAGATACAGGAGGTCAGTAGATCAGTGTTAATCTGACAGATACAGGAGGTCAGTAGATCAATGTTAATCTGACAGATACAGGAGGTCAGTAGATCAGTGTTAATCTGACAGATACAGGAGGTCAGTAGATCAGTGTTAATCTGACAGATACAGGAGGTCAGTAGATCAATGTTAATCTGACAGATACAGGAGGTCAGTAGATCAATGTTAATCTGACAGATACAGGAGGTCAGTAGATCAATGTTAATCTGACAGATACAGGAGGTCAGTAGATCAATGTTAATCTGACAGATACAGGAGGTCAGTAGATCAATGTTAATCTGACAGATACAGGAGGTCAGTAGATCAATGTTAATCTGACAGAGGCTGCAGAAGTTTTACTTTAACTGTACACAGTAAATTTGTTTTTGGATAACATGAAATTCAAAAAGATATAATGCTTTAATGCAAAGAAAATTGTTAGATACATGCCTTGAGTATTCATACCCCCCCCCCCCCCCAAAAAAAAAATATATAAACCTGTATTTAGCCAGCTCGATATGTGAACGACTTATCAAATAAAGAAAAATAGATGACATAATATGAATGAATATATGCTAATCCTATACTGATCTATAAAGGAGAGAAGACGGAGAGTGGAGGCTGAGAGACGAGCAGCACAGGAAATAGAAAATTTACGACTTGAGATTGCTGCTTTAAAGAACCAGAAACCTGTAAGCTCTAATGAACATCAAAATGTTTACATATTGATTCAAGTTATTGTTGAAAATGTTTTAAAGAATCTGACAACAGATAAATCTGATATGAAGGATACCCTTGTAATTTGATTTGTTGGTCTTTTTTATACAGCCAACACCTGCATACAGTCCTACCCCAAGTGTGTCTTCATATGTTAGGTATAGTGTGTTGGAGAATGTCAATTAATTTAGTTAAATACACTTAAATATACTTCTCTTAATTTCTAATATTTCTTTTAATAAATACTCAACTCTGTTCATAAAAATACTGACATTTTTGTGTAATTCGTAAGATGGGTTTTCTTTACTTAAGAAAGTTTTTTGAAAATGAATTGTTTTCAGCCGTCAACTTCTTGCTCCTCCACCTTCTCGAGTCTCCACTCAAGCTCCGCCCCCGGTTATGGTGGTAAAGGAGGTTCGGACCCCGACCCCTGTACAGACTCCAGTCGAACAGAAAAACAAAATTGTGGCAGACTTTCTTACTCGGGTCCTATTAGGCTTGAATAAAGGTTTGTTTAGGGCTAGATATTTTAAAACCATTTTGCGCATGAAATTCTAAAATTAGAAAAAAAAATGCAAATTTTTAAAAATATTTGTTGAAAGTCTTATAATCAACTTATACTGAACCCAGGCTTTGTTGTGCACCATATTACTTAGATATAAAATTGGAAAGGTTTTTTGATTTAGTTGCCCATGCAGAAGATCAGTATGTAGAGAAAGAGGAACTAGACAGGGCCACACAGGGCTACCTCATACAAAATGTCAAGGACATCAAACGAGCTCAGGTAAGGCTTGACTAGACATGGCCACACAGGGCTATCTCATACAAAATGTCAAGGACATCAAATGAGCTCAGGTAAGGCTTGACTAGACATGGCCACACAGGGCTACCTCATGCAAAATGTCAAAGACATTAAACGAGCTCAAGTAAGACTCTGTGTTGTGAATGAGATAACAAGGAAACACCTTTTTGTACAGTTATACCACATGAAGAAGGTGGATTGATATGTTCAGAATAATTCAAATCAAGCTTACATTCTATATAAGCGAGAAATCTATCAAGAGTATTGCAGAAAACATGTTAATACATACAATGGTTGATCAAGGCAATTTATTCTTCATGAGCTTTGAAATTAGCAGGTAAATACTATAAGCTACATGTATAATATTTCTTGCCTCTTTGAAAGATAGTGATTTCTTTTGAAATGAAACCCAACCTTTAAAGCTCTAAATGTCAAAGACCAGAGGACCTGGTTCAATGGTGAGGTGTCCATTTGTCTGTCTAAAAAGCATTTTAAAACTTCCAGACTTAATTCAAAGTTGAATACTAGCCCCTGTGTCACTTCTAGCAATTCAGTTCTTACCCAAAGTGTTTGTTTTTCCATGGTTTTTTGCATAATTTTATCTGAGAAATTTTAATTCTGCTTTATAGAAACAATTGTTTGGTCAACACCTTAAGCCAGGAGAGTTTGAGAAGCTATCTCCCAAAGAACAACAGGAGAAGAGTGAAGCCATGATTAAACTGATGCAAACCTGGCGAGAGGAAAGGCGGGAGAGGGAACTAGCCCAGGATAAAGATGCATTCTAAATCATGTCCAGAGTCAGGGGACTTTGTAAACACATGCTAAGGACAGAAACATTTTTAAGAATTTAGCCCACTTACAATTAACTTACATGCGAATAATTTATTTTACATAAGGTAATCATTTTTTAAGTGTTCACTCTTTCTCTGCTGGTCAGAGATTTTGTAGTCACTTGGTTCTAAAAAGTAAAATAGGTCTTCAAGGCTTATTTCAAATTTTGAATTTAATATAGCTCAAGGTTTACAATAAAAAAAAAATCTCTCAAGAAAACATCCTTCATATTTGTCTTATTGTTTATAAGAATTTAAGATAGTCTAAAAAAATTATGTACACAGTATTTATTGTGCTATTGTTTTACAATTTTCTTTGAAAAATATTTCAGAAAATAGTATTTTTGCTGCTTGTTTAAGGGAGCAATCACAGGGACTTGAGACAATCTTAGAAAAATCGAGTATATAGAATAATATACTATATACCCGATTTTGCTAAGATTTTCTCAAGTCCCTATGGGAGCAATGTCTTTGAAATATTCAAGTATTTTTTATAAAGATGTATCAGTCTGGATGTCAAAAATATTAAGAAGACATAAAAACTAATGATGCTAAAAAATTGACATTTTCACTCTAGCTAATTCGCTATTTAATTTCAAGTTTTTGCTTTTACATTGCCCAAATCTTGCACTTATGAAATATCTGGTGCTGTTTGAATGTTTTGTTTTTGTTAAGTGCCTAAGTTTTAGTCACACTATCCAGAAAAATAACATCAGTTGTCTAGAAATAGATATATTTGATTAAAACATGTCAAGTTCAGTCAATTTTTTCCCCTTATTTAACAAGAATACCTGTATGTTGAATTAAACAGGAACTTAATTGCTTTGTACAGGAATACATGTAATAGACTATACACTAAGATATTGTTTCATTCGACCGGAAATTTATTTCCCTGAGTACTCATATAGTGGTACACGACATTGTTACTGAGTACAATAAGAGAAGGAAATTCCCCTGTAGATTTTTGTAGCCAGTGACTATTGAATTTATAGAGAGAGAATAATTTATACATGTATAAGCACTGGAATTCACCTTTAACAACAGATTATAAGACAATGATAGATTACTCAACAATTTCAGAATGAACCATTGTGTTATCCTAGAAACTAGTCATGAATAATAAATACTAGATTATCAGTGTCAGTGTTTGCAATTATTAACGGTGAAATAATTTTTCATTAGATACAGTGATATTAATAATCAATACTGTAGGAAAGATGCCTTCACTGATGCTGCTATAGGTGTACTGCATGTGGCTTTTTCCTGATAAAAACAAAATCTTGCAGATGAGTTTGACAAATTAGGAAATAATTATTTATGGATTATTCTAATTAAAATGGTTTACTTTATATCACTGTATTAATTAAATGGCATATTTACTTGACATAAAACACACTTCATATAGTTTAAAGTATATATGCATGATTTATATGTTCTCTTAATTATCAGTAATTTAACAAAGGGCAACTTTATCATTTTACTGAGTTATGGACAATATCATAAATTTAAACAGAATCTGATGTTGCGAAGACGTTTTAAGTTACATAAAAACAGTACAAAATTAATATAAACAGTAAAACCATGTTTTTAATAAACTTCATTATAGCAAAATTCATCTTAAGACAAGATTTAGATTATCAGGATCAATTTAATTCCTTATTTCTGTAAAATTAATCATCCTTTTAACAAGTTTTACCAAATGATTATAAAATTAAAAAGACAGATAACAATAACACATTGGCAATACTTTAAAAAGTTTTATATCAGATACATTGAAATTGCACAACTGTCCACTGACCGTTTCCTCGACATATGACCGTCATGTCCACCTCTGGAGCATTTGAACTTTTTCCTTGGACACATTTATATTTAATTTTTGAACCAACATGTATCAAATAGTCAGACGTATAAGCATTTGCAAGTGTTGGAGGCTTTGTGCAGTCTGTCGATAAGAAATGAAACACCTATGGAAAATGCTTTCATAATAACTCAGCTATAAATTGATAAGTATTTATATCATTGACAATTTTCAAAATTGTAAATTTACAGTACGAGCTCTGGAAATTAAATCATTTTTACAGAATAATTTATAATTATGCCGTTCATTACTACAAAACATTGATGATTGAGTGAATACTTACTAACAATGATACATGCTGCTCTACTGCGCAACTCTACACACCTCTCCTGTGGTCCACATGTTTTGTTCCGACAGTAACCTAACATCGTCTGATAAATTTCAAATATGAAGTGTCTGAGTTAGCAATACTATGTAAGTATATGTTATCAATTACGACCTAGAGTGATTTTTAATTACAGACTATCCACATGTTCTTTATGTTTACTTCTATCTACCTGTACAAAATGAGTAACACCTTCCATGGAAGAATTACTAGTACCTGAATTTTCTCTGAGAATCATATTAAAATACATATTTTTAATTTAGACAGTACATTTGAGAAAAATACATTATAACATCATCAACTAATAAGGAGAGTATATATATATATCATGATAAAAAATGGGTACATACCTTTGGCCACTGATCCTTGCGAGTGAAGAAATACCCTTTCATTTCATGTAAACTCATCGAATCAGTTGATGAGGCTGAATTTAATTGACATACTCTTTTTTCTCTTATAAAATTGATAGAATGGCAGTCCACTGTTTTTAAACATTCCATAGCACACAACTGGAGACCTGAACTGTACTGCTCCATTATAACATGACCTGATAAAACAACACCGTCATACACTTCCACCATGTCGTTCTTTACTGATATTCGGATGGGCTCAAGTTTGATGAAAGGTTTATTTGATGTTGGTGTTGTCGAGTGCCCTGTAGTCGATAAACCACTACTTAGTTCAGTTGACGTCATTGTTGTTGATTCTACTCCTGTTTCTTTTGTAGTAGTTATTGCATTAGTCGTTATTCCATCTGTTATTATAAATGGCGATCCTTGTTCTGTTGTAAGAGTTTCTGTGGAGATTGTCTCCATTGTATTGGTAGATACTTCTGATGTTGTACCTCCTGAAGAAGTTTTTGAATTTGTTGTCATTGATATAGATTCGGTTGATACAATTATATTTGTTGCTGATTCTGTTAATAATGTTGAAGACAATGATAAGGATGACGAGGTTTCTGATTCTTTTGTTGATAATGATGTTGACAACGATGATCCTTGTTCTGTTGCCAGTCCTAATAATGATGTCTCTGTTGCCACTCCTACTGTTGATGTCTCTGTTAGAAATCTTTTTGATGGTGTATCTGTTGACAGCCCTGTTGATAATGAGTCTGCTGACAGACCCGTTGACGATGTCTCTATTGCCATCCCTATTGATGATGTCTCTGTTGACAACCCTTTTGATAATGTGTCTATTGACAGACCTGTTGATGATGCCTCTGTTGACAGCCCTATTGATGATGTCTCTTTTGACAGCCCTATTGATAATGTATCTTTCGAAACTCCTTTTGATAATGTTCTATATTGTTCTGATAATGTTGATAGTTCTATTGATGATGTTATTGTTGAAAGCCCTATTGTTGATGTCTCTGGTGATAGCCCTGTTCGGTATGTCTCTGGCGACACTTCTTTTGATGATGGCTCTGTCGGCTCTCTTCTTGATGATGTCTCTGTTGATACTCCTTTTAATGATGTCACTGTTAGCACTTCATTTGATGAAGTCTCTGTCGACACGTCTATTGATGATGTCTCTGTTGAAACTTGTGTTAATGATGTTTTAAGTGACAACCCTAAAGTAGATATCTCTTTTACCACTTCTTTAGATAATGGTTGTGCTGAAACCTCTATTGATGACACCTGGTTTGACAATGATGTCTCTGTTAACAGCTCTTTTGATGATCTAACTGTTGACATCCCTGTTGATGACGCCTCTGTTGACAACCCTATTGATACTGTATCTGTTAACGACCCTATTGATGATGTCTCTGACATTCCTTCTGATGATGTGTCTATTGACACTCCTATCGATGATATCTCTGTCGATATTCCTATTGATGATGTTTTTGTTACCACTTCTTTTAATGAATTTTGTGTTGAAACTCCTTCTGATGATACTTCTTTTGACAGTTCTGTTGATGGGGTCACTGTTGACAGCCGTATTGATGATGCCTTTGTTGACATCCTTATTGATGACGTATTTGTAGACAGCTCTATTGATGATGTTTCTGTTGACGGCTTTATCAATGGCATCTCTAGTGACAGTATTGAAGATCTCTCATCGGATGACGTCTCTGGTGATAGTCCTCTTGAAGATGTCTCTGTCAACACCCATGTTGATGATGTCTCTGTCGACACTTCCATTGATGGCGTCTCTGTTGCCATCCCTATTGATGTTGTCTCTGCTGACAGCTCTTTTGATATCTCTTGGGAAACCTCTGTTTGTGGTGTTTCTGTCGAGATTCTTTTTGATGATGTCTCTGTTGACACTCCTGTCAATGATGATTCTTTTGACACTCCTACTGATGACGTCTCTAGTGACAGCCCTATTGATGATGTCTCTGTTAATAATACTTTTGATAATGTTTGTTTTGAAAATCCTATGGATGATGAGTCTTTTGACGGCCCGATTGATGTATCTGTTGACGGCCCTATGGATGATGTCTCTCTTAACATCTCTGTTGATGATGTGTCTGTTAACAGTCCTGTTGGTGTTGACATTCCTTTTGATGTCTCTGTTGACACTGCATTTGATGAGGTCTCTGTTGACAATCCCTTTGTTGATTTTTCTGACGACACGTCTATTGATGATCTCTCTATTGATAACCCTATGGACGATGTTTTTGTTGCGCTCCCTATTAATTGTGTATCTGTCACCATTCCTTTTGATAATATTCCTTTTGACATTCCTGTTGATGATGGCTCTGGTGAAGCTGTTTCTGATGATGTGCCCATTGACACTCCTTTTGGTGGTGTCCCTATAGATAATCCTATTGTTGATGTCTTTGTTGTCAGCCCTATTGATGATGTCTCCCTTGACAGCCCTAATGATGATATCTCTGTTGACACTCCCATTGGTGATATCTCCGTTGAGATCCCTGTTGATGATGTCTGTTGGGAAACTTCTTTTCTTGAAGTCTCTGTTGATTCTCCAAATGATGATGTCTCTGATGACACTGCTATCGATGATGTCTCTGATGAACCTCCTATAGATGATTTCTCTGGTGACACTGTTATCGATGATGTCTCTGATGACAATCCTATCGATGATGTCTCTGATGACACTCCTATGGAAGATGCCTCTGATGACACTCCTATAGACGATGTCTCTGGTGAAAAACCTATCGATGATGTCTCTGATGGCACTGCTTTAGACGATGTCTCTGATGACACTCGTATAGATGATGTCTCTGATGACACTCCTATAGACGATGTCTCTGACCACACTCCTATAGATAATGTCTCTGATGACACACCTATCGATGGTGTCTCTGATGACACTCCCCTCGATGATGTCTCTGTTGATGGTACGTTTGATAATGTTTGTGTTGAAACCTTTTTTGATGGTGCCTCTTTTGACGGACCTATTGACAGCGATACTAATGACGTTACAGTTGACATCCCTGTTGACACTCCTTTTGATGATGTCCCTATAGACAATCCTATTGTTGATGTCTTCGTTGTCAGCGCTATTGATGATGTCTCTGATGACACTTCTTTTGATGATATCTCTGATGGCACTCCTATCGATGATGTCTCTGATGACACATCTATCGATGATGTATCTATTGATGGTATGTTTGATAATGTTTGTGTTGAAATCTCTTCTGATGATGCTTCTTTAGACGACCCAATTGATGTTTCTGTTCTCAGTGGTATTGATGACGTTACTGTTGACATCCCTGTTGATGATGTGTCTGTTAAGAGCACCATTGATGATATCCCTGATGACATTCCCTTTAACGAATTCTCTGTTGACACTCTTTTTGATGATGTCCCTGTATACACTTCTTTTGAAGATGTTTCTGTTGACAGCCCTATAGGTGACATACCTGTTGAAGATGTCTCTGATGAAACTGATTTTAATGAAGTCTCCCTTGACAGTCCTTTTGACGACGTTCCTGTTGACAATCCTATTGTTAATGCATTCATTGTTATCCCCATTGATGATGTCTCTGTCCACATTTTCTTTGATGATTTTTCTAACGAAACTCTTAATGATGATGTCTCTGTTGACAACCTTAATGATGTCGTTCCTTGGGACACTTCTTTTGTTGATGTTTCTGTGGGAATTCTATTTGATGATGTCTCTGTTGATAATCCTGTCGATGATGTCTCTTTAAACACTCCTACTGATGATGTCTCTAGTGACAACCCTTTTGATGATGTCTCTGTAAACAGTGTTTTTGATAATGTTTGTGTTGAAACCCTTATTGATGAAGCCTCTTTAGACGGCCCGATTGATGTATCTTTTGACAGCGCAATTGATGATGTTTCTGTTGACATTCCTGTTGATGATGTCTCTGTTAACAACCCTTTTAATGATATCTCTGAAGACATGCCTTTTAAGGATGTCTTTGTTGACACTCCACTTGATGACGTCTTTTTTGACATTCCATTTGACGAAGTCTCTGTTGACACTACTTTTGATAGCGTCTCTGTGGACACGTCTATTGATGATCTTTCTGTTGACGGCCCTGGTGACAACCCCATTGATAATGACTCTGTTACTTCTTTTGATGATGTTTGTGTTGAAACCCCCATTGATGATGTCACTGTTGCCTTCCCTATTTTTGATGTCTGTGTCACCATTCCTTTTGATGACGTTCCTGAAAATCCTGTTGATGATGGCTCTGGTGAAACTTCTGTTGATAATGTCTCCATTGATGCTCCTTTTGTAGATGTATTTGTTGTTAGCTTTATTGGAAATATCTCTGCTGACAGCCCTTTTGATGAAATCTCTGTCGAAATTTCTTTTGATGATGTTTCTAATGAAACTTCTACTGATGATGTCTCTGTTGACAGCCCTATTGCTGATGTCCATTGGGTCACTTCTTTTGTTGATGTTTCTGTCGATATTCCTTTTGATGATGTCTCTGTTGACACTCCTTTTGATGATGTCTCTGATGACACTCGTATTGAGGATGTCTCTGGTGATAACCCCTTTGATGATGTCTCTGTTAACAGTTCTTTTGTTAATGTTTGTGTTGAAACCCCTACTGATACTGGATCTTTTGATTGCCGCATTGATGTATCTGTTGACAGCCCTATTGATGATGTCTCTAATGATATTCCTGTTAATGAAATGTCTATTAACACCCCATTTTGTGATATGTCTGATGATATTCCATTTGATGAAGTCTCTGTTGACACCCCCTTTGATAATGTCTCTGTTGACATTTCTTTTGATAAAGTTTCTGTTGACACTCCTTTTGATGAAGTTTTTGTTGACACTCCTTGTAAAGATGTCTCTGTCGACACGTCTATTGATGAAGTCTCAATTGATAGCCCCATAGAGGATGTCTCTGGTGACAACTCTATTAATAATTTCTCTGTAAACACGTCTTCTGGTGATGTTTGTGCTGAAACTCCTATTGATGATGTCTCTATTGCGTTCCCTATTGATAGTGTCTCTGTCAGCATTCCTTTTGATGATGTCCCTGTTGAAATTCCTGTTGATGATGGTTCTGGTGAAACTCCTTTTGATGATGTGTCCACTGACACTCCTTTTGATGATGTCCCTGTTGGCACACCTATTGTTGATGTCTTCTTTGTAAGCTCTATTGATGATGCGTCTGTTGACAGTTCTATTGATGGTGTTTCTGTTGACAGTTTTATTGATGCCTCTATTGATTCGCCTATTGATGATGTCTCTGTTGACACCTCTGTTGGTGATATCTTGGACATTGTTTTGTCCGATGATACTCTGACTGACGTCTCTGTTGACACCCCTATTGATGATGACACTGCCGCCCAGCCTATTGATGAAGTTTCATGAGACACTCCCATTGATGATTTCTCTATTGACAATCCTACTGGTGATGTCTCTGTTTGCAATTCTATTGATGATGTCTCTTTTGACAGCTCTATTGATGATGATTCTGTAAACACTCCTGTGGATGATGTCTTTGTTGCCTGCCCTATTGATTGTGTCTCTTTCACTTGTCTTGATGATGGTTCTTTCGACACTTCTCTTGATGAAGTCTCTGTTGAAAACCCTTTATATGATGTCTCTATTAACATCCCTGTTGATAATGACCCTTTTGATAACCCATTTGATGATGGCTCTGTTGACACTTCTGTCATAGATTTCTCTGTTAATACTTCTTTTGATGATGTCTCTGTTAACATACCTTTGGATGACATCTCTTTGGACATTCCTATTGATAATGCATCAGTCGACATCCCTATTGATGAAGTCTCTGTCGATACAAAATTCTTTGTGAGTACTTCTTTTGATGATGTGTCATTTGACACTTCTTTTGATGATGTTTCTGTTGACACCGCTATTGACGGTGTTTCTGTTGCAGTTACTTTTGAGGACTTTCCTTTTGATGATATTTTTGTTGGCTCTCCTTTTAATGATGTTTCTGTTGTTTTCGATGGTGGCCAGGAAGAGATGGAATTATCTTCTATATCTGTGGTAATTACTCTTATTGTTGTTGTTATTTCTGCTTCAATTGTTGCTGATATTGTCGCATCTTCTGTCAATAACGTTATTGCTCCTGATTTTGTTGTATGTTTCGTTGGTTTGTCTTGTGACGTCATCGTTGTTGGGGCTGTGTCACTGCCCGTTGTATATTCTTCTCTTGAAAGTAATGTTGACGATGATGATGCAGTATTTGCTTCTGTTCTTAATGAAGTTGGGTCTGTTGTTGATGATATTGTCTCCGATTTTGTTTCTGTCATTGGTGATGATACTCTTTTTGTAGTTGGGTCTACTATTAATGACGATACTGACGCTTTCTCAATTCTTGATTCTGTGTTTGGTGAAAATGGCGTATCTGTCTTTGATTCTTTTAGCTGTGTTGATCCACTTTTTGTAGCCAAAGATGATTCTAAAACTGTTGTTGATTCTGTCATTGATGACAATTCTGTATCTTTTGTGGATTCTGTCATTGATGATGATGCTACGGCTGTTGATACTATCAATGGTGATGACCCTATTTTTGTAGTTGATGATAAAGCTAAAATTGTTGATATTCTCACTGATAAAAATTCTGTCTCATTTGTTGAATGTGTCATTAATTGTGATGCTCTTTCTTCTATTTTTTCTGTCACTGATGAGGACAATTTCTCAATTGGCAAGTCTGTGTTTGGCACTAATGATGTTGATTCTGTCAATGATGATGTTTCTTGTTTTTCTTTTACTGGTAAGATGTCTGTTTCTGTTATGAATTGTGACTTTGATGATGATTCTGTCCCATTTGTTGAATTTTTCGTTGGTGATGATGATGCTGTTTCTGTTGTTGATTTTTTCATTAATAATGAAGCTGTTTCTATGGATTCTTCTGTCAATGGTGACGATGCAGTTTCTTTTGTCTCTGTCTTTGACAGTGATGTTGTGTGTTTTAGCATTGGTGTTGTTTCATTTTCTGATATTGTCGGTGTCCTTGTTGTTGATGCCGGCATTGATGTCTTTTTTGTTGAGCCTCTTATTGATGATGAGACGAGCTCTTTTGTGAATTCTGTCACTGGTGGGGTTAATGTTTCTGCCGTGGATCTTTTCATGGATACTGCATCTTCTGTGGATTCTGTCAATGGTAAGGTTACTGTGTCTGTTGTTGATTCTCTTACTGGTGAAGTTATTGTATCTCTTGTGGATTCTTTCTTTGATGACGATGCTGTGTCTGGTGTGGATTTTTTCGTTGGTAATGATACTGTCTCTTTTGTAGATTCTGTCATTGATAATGGTAATGTATCTGTTGTGGATTCTCTCAGTACAGAGGTTATTTTATCTCGTGTGGATTCTTTCATTGATGACGATGCTGTGTCTGGTGTGGATTCCGTCACTGGTAATGATACTGTCTCTTTTGTAGATTCTGTCATTGGTAATGATATTGTATTTGTAGATTCTGTCATTGGTAATGATATTGTATCTGTTGTGGATTCTATCCCTGATGAGGTTATTGTATCTCTTGTGGATTCTTTTATCGGCGATGATACTGTGTCTGGTTTATATTCTGTCACTGGTAATGATACTGTTTCTTTTGTAGATTCTGTCATTGGTAATGATATTTTATCTGTTGTCGATTCTATCACTGATGAGGTTATTGTATCTCTTGTGGATTCTTTTATCGGCGATGTTACTGTGTCTGGTTTATATTCTGTCACTGGTGATGATACTGTGCCTGTTGTGGATTCTGTGACTCGTGAGATTATTGTTTCTGTTGTAGATTCTCTCATTGATGATGATTTTTGCCTTTCTGTCGAGTCTGTCTTTGTTGTTGATACATCTTGTATTGTTGATTTTGATATTAATGATGTTTCTGTCTTTGAAAATGCTGTTTCTATTGCTGATTCTGTCCTTGATGATGATGTTGCTGTCTCTGTTGTTGACTCTGTCATTAATGACGATGCTGCCTCTGTTAGCAAAGGTGTTGCTTCTTTTTCTAAAATTGTTGTTGACTCTATTGTTGATCCAGTCATAGGAGATGACACTTTCACTTTTGTTGACTCTGTCATTAATGATGAGGCTGTCTCTATTGATGATTCTTTTGTTGGTGAGGATGGGATCTCTTTAATTGGTTCTGTCTCTGATGATGATGTCTCTGTTAGCATTGGTGTTGTTTCTTTTTCTAATACTATTGCCTCTATCGTTGTTTGGGTTATTGGTGAAAATTTTATTTCTGTTGTTGTTTCTGACTCTGTTGGCATTTGTGTTAATTTATTGTCGGTCATCAATGATGATTGTGACAATGTTGAAGATTTTGTAATCGATGTTGATGTTGTCTCTAGAAACAATGCTGGTTTTGCTGATGACACTCTTTCAAATGACGACAGTGTCATTTCTGATTCTTTCATTGATGAATTTATGTCTACGTCTTCTACTGATTCTGTTTTGATCGGTGACCATGAATCCTGTGTTAATAACAATGTGTTTGATGTTGTGTCCTCCAATACTGGTATTGTTGTTTTTTCTAGATCAGTTGATCCTGACAGTTTTTGCTCCATTGTTGTTACTTCAACCCATGTCTTAGTACTTGTGTTTGTTTCCGCTTCTTCAGTTGTTCCTGATTGCGTTATGGTTGTGCCTTTTTTTTGTATTCCCATTGTTTTTGATTGTTGTTCTGTAGTGTCGGTTGGTTGTAATACTAGTTTTGTTTTGTCGATGATTGTGGTTAACTCTGTTTTTGATTTTATTGTAAGCAATGCTTTTGCTGTCATTCCTTTTGTTGGTTTATTTAAATCTGTTTCTGTTGATATTAATGTTGTTTCTGTCTTTGTTTCTTCTGAAGGATGTATTGTTTCCGATTCTGTTGTCAGTAATGTGGTTTCCGTCTTTGTTTCTTTTATTGGCATTTTTGCATCTGATTCTGTTGTCAGAAACGTTGTTTCTGTCTTTATTTCTTTTGAAGGTTGTATTGTTTCCGATTCTGCTCTTTGTAATGTTGTTTCCGTTTTTGTTTCTTTTATTCGTGCATTTGTACCTGATTCTTTTGTATGTAATGATGTTTCTGTCTTTGATTCTTTTGTGGTTTGTATTGTTTCCGATTCTGTTGTCAGTAATGTTGTTTCTGTTTTTGTTTCTTTTGTTGGTGGATTTGTATCTGATTCTGTTGTCAGTAATGTTGCTTTTGTCCTTGATTCTGTTGTTGGTGGTTTTGTATTTGATTCTGTTGTTAGTAACGTTGTTTTTGTCTCTATTTCTTTTATTGGTATTTTTATATCTGATTCTGTTGTCAGTAATGTCGTTTCCCTCTTCGTTTCTTTTGTTGATGGTTTTATATCTGATTCTGTTGTCAGTAATGTCGTTTCCCTCTTCGTTTCTTTTGTTGGTATTTTTGTATCTGATTCTGTTGTCAATAATGATGTTTCTGTCTTTGATTCTGTTGTTTGTATTTTTGTATTTGATTCTGTTGTCAATAATGATGTTTCCGTTTCTATTTCTTTTATTGGTATTTTTGTATCTTTTTCTGTTGTCAATGATGTTGTTTCTGTTTTTATTCCTTTCGTTATTGGTTTTGTATCTGCTTCTGTTGTCAGTGATGTTGTTTCTGTCTTTGTTTCTTTTGTTGGTGGATTTGTATCTGATTCTGTTGTCAGTAATGTGGTTTCCGTCTTTGTTTCTTTTATTGGTATTCTTGTATCTGATTCTGTTGTCAGTAAAGTTATTTCTGCCTTTGTTTCTGTTGAAGATTGTATTGTAACTGATTCTGTTGTCTGTAAGCTGGTTTCTGTCTTTGTTTCTTTAATTGGCATTTTTGTAGCAACTGATTCAGTTGTTAGTAATGTTGTTTCCGTTTCCATCCTCTTTGACATAGGTGTGGTAGTATCTGTTGTTAAAGTAGATTTTTGTATGTTAATAATGGTAAATAATGGAGATAGCACCTTAAGAGAATATAGCCATGAAGGTTAGTGACCAAATTCAAATTGAAATTTGAGTTCTAGATTAAATACGAAATTCCGGCCTATTCCAGCATATATTCGCCCAGCGAAGCACCCAGGAAAATTATCTTAACACATTACATTCAAATTTTGCCCCAGACTGTTGCATTTTATAAATGCGTAAATCGACAATAACGGGTAATTTTAAAGTATTATGTAACTGCTGATCTACCTGATCAATACATATGGCTTATGGTGGGTTTGACCGGTCAACAGGGGACTTACTTCTTCTAGGCACCTGATCCCACCTCTGGAATATCCAAGGATCCGTGTTCCATGCTCTCTGCACTGAATTATATTGTTTATAGATTTTTTGACGTCGATCACTATTCGTTATCTATTTTACATACTGTTTTCAATATTAAATGTACCAATAATTGTTATATGTACCTTGACCTATGGAGAGAACGATTATAGGCATTATGCCTGCTGTTCAATCCATTTCATTTGTAATGAATAAATATATTTTAAACTATTCGTTATCTTCACCTTTTTTCATACATGTGTAAGTACATCTGTATTCATATGATGAAGGTAGGATTTTACCTTTAACAAAACTTCTTTACAATAAGGTTGAATAAATTCAGTAATTATTACAAAACTATATTACATATGATTTAACTGCTAATAGTTTCATTCAATAAAAATTACAAGAAATACACCCTACTAGATTTTTTCTATTTTATCAAAGTCTGTTTACTGAATAATTAAATCGAGGTACAATCATTCATCAAAGTGTTGTGGTAATACACACACTGGACAGTATTGCTAACACACCACTTATTGTTCTCGTTTGTTAATTGAATATTTACCTAATCGACACTAGTATATCTAATATGTCGTCTTTCTCAATAAAGTTGGATTGACAAATGTCTTGGAGTCATGACAAGATTCTTAAATGACCTCCTCCCCGGAACCAATTCTCCCACGTGCACTGAGCACCGTTTTTTGCTAATTATATGAAGTTGGTGATTGAGGTTGCAGCAGAGGTAGTTCCCAGTGAAAAACAAATAATATATAACGATTGATTATCATATCGCTTAAAAGTCAATCAGTGCCTTTGTCTCCATACCCATACTCCATCTAACATCGGTTGTCTCAATTATGAAATTGTATTGTGTTGACTACTTAATGCTGTGGTTTTCTGTAGAAAACATTCTTAGCTTTGTTATGCTATTTGCACTAATTTTTCACCAGAAGAAAAAATAATCTTTGTATTGTCTTACTAGTAATTTTTTTTCTTACAAATTTCTCCAAAGGAACGCTCTGCAGACCCCATACTGACAGCCTCAGCACGCTCCTCTAGGGTCAAACGCCACATACAGTGTAAATGTTTTCTGAGTTTTTTTTAAATTAGTACAAAGATTAAGAACACAAAAACAAAGGAAAAAAATCGTGTGAGCACGATTTTCATTGTTTTCAATGGAAAGGTTACGCTTTATTTAACATTGTAATTTATCAGTTAAGGCATTTAAATGTTTCATTTTTTACTTTGGTAATATATCCATTTATCAAATACATCATAAACAAGTTTTGAATAGAAAATATTCATTTTCTTTTGTGGTGCGTTAGCAATTTTGTCTAGTGTACAGAGGTGACAAGCGTAGAACATCGGTAAAAAAGGTGTATATATAAACCATCAAAACAGGGGTGAACTGACTTTCTACTAGTGTTCTCGGTAATCTAAGCAGTTTTAAAAGATATCTAAAAAGAGATACTTACAATTAAACACATTTTCCAGCTCCGTTCTTTCAACAGTATTATTGAATCCTACGGTGTGGTGGACAATTACAAACATCCAAATAAATAAAAGATAAGAGTCATTCCACAAAATTTCTTTTAAATCCATGAAACTTTTCTTTTTTGAAATTTTTTACCGTGTAGAACAGTCAAAGAATAGATATTGTTAGGTTCTGTATAATGTACAATAAACAAAAATTAAATTGTAAATTTACAAAGGAAAATTTTAGCCTCCAAAGCATGCTTTATCGAGAGACATGGATATAACTTCAACAATTAGATTGTTGCTGTAAGTGATTATTAGATATACACAATAGTTACTGTTACAGTTATTGTCCCGTGACATCCCTATAATAATAATTAACGGAATTAAAATCAATATTAGCCATTAACATTAAAATACGAAACCACCGTCAGCTTACTGTAAGTAGCTGAGCCTATTACAAGGGTAGAGGAAATGCTTGGTTTAATTATTTTTCATTTTTCACGTACTGTGATAAGTTCCTGGATTTGGTTTGCTGGAATTTCCGAATTTCTCTTAAAATCCATTGAAATTAAGCATCTGATGCTGCAAATTGGTGTCTTTTTTTCAAATTCCGACAGCTTTATTGCTTTTATTCTGCAATTCTGTTGCTCTTAATTGAATCCAGGTAACCAATAGAGTGTTAAATTAATTCATCACTGAAGCCCGAGAATGTCAAGACTCTCAAAGCTATCCGGTGTAGTATACATGTACAGTAAAACTTGTTGAATCCGGATGTTGTGCATTCCGGCATGTTGTTCAGTCCGGCGTAATATTTTAGTCCCTTGAATTTTCTTTATAATTTATGTTTAATAAATGTTGTTCAATCCGGATCTTGCCTATTCTGTAAACCGGCCGCTATTTTAAGAACTAACTGCTCATAATTAGTACAAATTATCTCCTCTAATCCGGCCACTTATTTTTACCTGTGCCCGCTGGTCATTAGAGAAGTCTCGCGTGGGGTAATTATTGTCCCGTTAATGATCTATCCTGTATCGACAGTTTAGATTTTAACAAACGTGATTAAGAAAAAAATATCGATGGCTCAAGTACGGCGAGGAAACTCGCAAAAGAACGAGTGATAGTGATGGTTGCGTGTAGCATGTCTGTAGAAAAACTTGGAGACTTATTCATTACCTCCTTTCTACTTTCGTTTTGCGTGCTCGAAGTGCAATTCGAATTACTTCCCTTTGTGTCGCTAGTTTACAACGACCATAACGACAGAAGATTTTGGTCCAATATTCATTATAACATTTGAATAAACAAATACCGTGTCTAAATATTCAATTTTAAAAGAAAGAAATTAATAAGGAATCTGTCCCTAACAAAATAATATTTACAGCTACGACGAGGTTTTGGAGCGTGTTCAAAACATTGAACGATTTTCAAATTTAATAAATGACCAAGAGATATAAAACTTAAACAGAAATGAAAATTCTGTAGAACAAACAAAGTTCAAAACAAACAAAATAGACGATTTTTCAAGTGAAACCTAAAAAATGACACATTTGAGAAAGTATTTATTTACCACTCTTTGTTTATATCTATGTAATTTTTAATTTGCTATAACGGTTCAATTTTCTCCAATCCGGATGTTGTCTAATCCGGCGAAAAATTTTGGAACCACTGGTCACCGGATTAGACAAGTTTTACTGTATATATTTAATCCCTATTAAGATATAGACCGAAATCATGGAATTGACTCCTTCCCCTTTATTTGAACCGGGCCGTAAAATCATGAACTCAAAACGGGCAATTTTTCATCGATACATACACAAACGAAAATTATTGAAACTAAATTTATTTCTTTTCATTTTTAATATGTGTAGGAGTTTGATCTTGAAATTAGGTCAAGGATAAGCACTGCAAAAACTGAGTTTAGAGGAGGGTATTTGTTGTAATAGCAGGTACATTGTATTTTTTAAGCCTATCTGCATGGGTAAAACATTTATAATTTGCTTTATCAACACTTTTTCATTGCTTTAAGTCATATTCATATTGCACAAACACCCTGGTCTATGTAAAAATCACTAACATATGCTAAAACTTTGTTGATGTAGTGCTTTGGTAAAGTTGTCTGTTTGACAAAACATTCTCAAACCCTTGATATGCGGAAGTAAAACCTTCAGTGAATTGTTGCTTACGACTTAATGTTGATCATATTGTGGATCTTGACTAGAGGTCATATTTCAAAAGTTAAGGTCATTGGGAATGGCGTTCGAGCCTAAGATAAGAGTGTATTTAAACTTGAGTATGTTGTTGCTGATGACCTAAAGACATCATGATTCTGCCTCAAGGTAATAGATCTCGAGGTTCACGGTAATGGCTTGAAGGTTAATAGATAAGGCAACGGGTGTAACTGGGGAGAAAAACAACAGTCAAAAATAATAAAGAAATTATATTGTAAAATTTGAGAAACGTACACTTTTCAATACTTTATACAACCATTCCCCAGGATAAATTGAAATCCAGGATTTTTGACATCATAGACAGCTGCTTTTTCAATAAAAATGGAACTCGTAAATATACTTACCTTGTCATTGGTCATTTACAAAATTATTTTCTTAAAAAGCACTCTGATTGTACACACAAGTACTCTGAAGTTGATATTGAAAAGATGCTTGAGTTTCTGATTGACAATATCTATGTAGTTTTTGGAGATCAGGTCTTCCAACAATCTGTTGGAATTACCATGGGTACCAATTGTGCCCCATTATTAGCAGACCTATTTTTGTATTCATATGAAGTAGAATTTATTCGAAAACTTCTACATGAAAAGAAGAAAACACTTGCTGTGGCCTTCAACTCGACATTTCCATATATCGACGAGTTATTACCAATTAACAATAGTTACTTTCATTCATATGTCGACTCGATATATCCCAGTGAGCTTGAAATAAATTGTTTTTCACTTGTGCCAGTGGGATTTTTGTGCAATAATTAAGAAAATTTAAAAGTGTCCGTCACGTGATCAACAGAGTCATGTGACATCACAAATATGCTTTTTCTCAAAACGTTATTAAACTCTCTCCACAAATTTACTGCAAATGTATACATAGATTACAAATTGATATCAAAATCAAGCTCAAAATATAATAGTGTATTTCTAATGCATATAAACCTACGGACAGCCTTAACATAGCCGCGAGACGTATCAGTTCCGGGAATCGCCATTTTTGCTATGAGACAGATCAATTTCCGTGAACAACGAATATAAGATGAACAGCAAATATAAGATGTTATTCAGGGGAAGAAGGCGGATAATAGAAGCAGTGAGATTGGTACCATCTTTTTGGTAAATTTACAAACAATTTGAACATACGTTTGAGAAAAATCCGGATATTGGTCTCCTTGTCCTTTGATTTTTAATCCGATTGGAAACATATCCGAGTTAAAAGTACTGGAAATAGGATAACATTCCTCCAATTCCGAGTCTCCTAAGGCAACATTAGTCGGAAGGACTTGGAAGAATTGTTATTTGTTCATCCACACTCACAAGAATCTCCGTACAGCAGGTCTTTGGGAAGTGGCTTCTAACAGTGACATATAACAAGTGAATGGAAGATACTGAAAGAATGACTTTTCTTGACCTATTAATTTGGGAGACCCCTCTGGCCAACAGGGGAGTTTTTCTTCTCTTTACTACTCTACATATCTCGGGAAAATATTTTACTGCTTTTTTGAGGAGCCCTTCCTCAACCCAACTGGAAAGTCTTTTTTTATTTTCATCTTCTTTTAAGCCGTACTTTATTGACAGCATTGATTCCTGTAATTTTCACCGCCTCCTTTCCGTGGGTCTATAGTTACTCTTTTAAGGTTTACTTTTTTTCTTAGCAAATCAATTTGTGTTTTGTCACAGGCTGTCAAGACTTCTTTGCCTCCTTTTGAGTAAATCTATGGAAAAATCCTCTTTCCGTTGATCATACGCATATCCGGAGCGATTAGCGACTCTTTGACGAATCTTACGAAAAGTTGCTACAAATCCCTTTGGTATGCCCTTGACAAACTAACCAGCCTTGTTTTCTTCCACAGGCCTAATATAAGATTTCCAATAGGAATAGGAGAAATTTAAGAATAAGGGGAAAAAATGAAAAGTCGTTTCCGTGTCCTTTGCCATTATGATACGCGAAATTTCCGTGTCCGCTCTGTCTAAACAAGCCTGGATGATACTTCATGTCTCGAGAGTTTTGTATAACTGACTCTAGTGCACTTGGGTTCGTTCCTGCTTTTTATACCAAAGCATGCAGTGCACCGGACAAGTAACCGATCCCAGCAGCACGTAACAGGATCGTTTCATTGGACTTTCGAGATTGAATACTGTTCGTTATCTTCATATTTCATCAGTACATCCATCAGTAGACTTTTCTAATGAAATATGGAGATAACAAACAGTATTCAAGCTCAAGGTTTCGATTGCTTTCGTAGTGCGTGAGTGTTTTAGTTTCTTTCAAAGTTTGAGCATATTTTAATCAATTAGGAAACCGGATGATTTCTCAAGAATTGGGATCTCATATTATCATTTAATCCAAGACTGGAATCGCAAACATATTATCCTCTAAAAGTGGTCTACCCTACTTTATTCCACATTTTGGATTTCTTTAAATGTTCTTATAATAATTCAGCTTTCTTTTGCATGGGTTTATTCAAAATTTTGATGATTTGTTCATCAATCTCTAGAGCAGGGGCAGCAGTAGCTTTGGCTCCCGAGTCAGCTGCTGGTTGTGCTAGTGCTGCAGTTGCTGCAGCTGCTTCTCGTGCTGGTGCTGCTGGTAGTGCTGGTGCAGCTGCTGCTGAATTTAGAAGAAATAGGCTACTGTCTGGCTTGTTGTAAATAGTTCTGAAATCAATGACGTCCTTGGCCATGAAAAGCGAATTTAAGTTCTGGAGTTAAATCCATTTTCGTTTTATTCCTGACCTAAACTTATGGTTCGATGGAAATTCGGGGGATTTAGGTAAATTTCCCTTTCTTTTAACATGGCTTCGAAAACTAATACTATTTTACGATTCATTTTTTCTTTTCCTTCTTTCTCTCATTTCTTTATAGGCAGAAAAAGTGGCTCCAAAGAGTAAGGATGCAGCCAATAAAGCTCTTCTTTTTGGACGGATTGGGGTTTTACCAGTCTCCTGAAGATGTGTTTCTAAGGAGTCAGTTTTCCTTTCTGGGCCGAAGTGAGGGGATAACACCCCCTTTCAATAGGTTGTATACGATCTCGGAGATCTTGAGAACACAATCTCCAGAACATTGTTTCAAAATTGCCGTGTTTAATTGAACGGAACAATAAGGGGTAGGTTAGACTCTTAAAAGAGGTAAATGAGGTTTTAACTGTGTGGAAAAACTCGATGTCTTCGCTCTTTTCTGAGGAACCATCTCTATCAAATGAGTTTCGTACCAAAAGGTCACAATTTTTTATACCCTTTCTCAGGGAGGAGCATACATTCCATGTTGGGATTCTCTTGTCGATTCTCTATTTTTCAGGGTGATGTAGACTTCTGAGCACCATCGACATTTATATCTCTTTTTTAATGATTACTTTATGAATAGAAAATGTCAGGACTGAAAGAAAGCTAATCCTCCAAATATCGAAGGTCCTGCTGGTGTAGTTTGATAGGACTGGCCTCAGACATTGACTCGAGGTATCAATTCAAATCTGTTATCGTCTGCCTTCAGGGCCCATGGCACGATTCATTTTCAATTCGGCTTGTTTCTTCAATAATTCATCTGAATTTTTTTTCCCTTTGTTCTCTGTGATACTCCTTGATTTCCCTTCTCAAACTTTCGGGCATGAATTTGAGCTAAGAGTCATCTGGGGAGTTTTCTTTGTTTTTCAGTGACGTATTTTTTAAGGAGTCCCCAATGTCTTCTGTCGAGCCACGCTTGCAGCTCTCAACATCCAGTCGGAAAGAATTCTCTTTGTAGACTTATTGCCTCTAACTAGCATACTTTTCAAACTACGAGGATGTTGTTTATAAGGCGTATTCCACTTGAATAAATGACGAGAGAAGACATCTTGAAATTCTGCTCCTCGGTCTTGATCACTAGCAAACCAATTCAATAAGGCCTTGTGGCCTAATTCAATGAAATGACCCCGCTTGTCGGGATCTGGTTCATTTGACATTTATAAAACATTTATGAAACAAAAATATCAGCAGTCTCGTTTAAAGTCATCATTTCGTAAGTTCTATGGTCGATACAATGACCTTGTCAGCAAATACAATTTATCATTGAGTCAAATGCTGACTGACATTTTTCATACTAATTGTTAGGCCATTATTTACACTCTGAATTGTCGACGGATTTTTCTGTTATTTCCCGGTCATGACAAGGAGCACACAGCGGGTGTGACCGGTCGGCAGGGGATGCTCACTTCTCCATGGTACCTGATCCCACCTCTGATGTTTTGGAGGTCCGTGTTTGCTCTGCACCTATTTTGTAATGTTTAATGGACATTTGAGCTTGAATACTGTTCGTTATCTCCATATATTTCATTATACTAATTTACTCTTGACACTGAAAGGTCGTACCAAGACAAAAATGACATGTGGTGGTTGTTCATTTTTTATTTACACTTTTTGTGGCATGTATACAAAACAATATTGATACATTTAATTAATTTCTCGATCTCAATTCGTCGAGAATCAGTGGATTCAGGTCTAGAAAAAATACCCGTGAGGAATACTGATGAAATTTTTATAAGCCGACATCAAATGGAGGCCTGTCTAATTGTCGACTTAACATATTAATCTGAGATTTGTCTCTGGGATTTTTAACATGACTAAATAATAAATTGGTCCGATGCTGAGAAGCTCGATTGTAAATTTCTGAGTGATGTAATTTACACTGGTATTCCGATGATAAGCTTTTGGGTAAACCGCTCCACGATAGATTCGATGGTTTTTTCCTCCCATCATGTTGAAAATGAGTAAGTGAGGAATACCATATTGGCCACTCATTTCTAGCCGTCTCCGGGAATGTTGCAGATGAAAGAAACCTGATCTGTTAAAGAGATTTAGGCGAATTGCCATTCTCGATAACACCAATTCCGCAACAGGTGTGGTTCAGTGTAGTTTCTTGACAAATTCGGTTTTTCCAGATTAAGAGGCTCCTGTTATCACCCTGGTAAATTCGTGTCACATTTGAAAGAGGACAGCGTCTTGTATCATTGCATGATGACAAATGAAGGGGTCTCTTCTTCCAGTCATTGTCCCATCTGCCGAAAAAAGTACACAACGCCTATTTCTCTGTTGACTATAAATATAGTAAACAGAGAAATAGGCGTCGTGTACTTTCTTCGGCAGATGGGACAATGCTGGAATTCAGTAGCACACAATACAGCAACATATGTGTCGTCAAGTCTGTAATACTTCCTCTAAACAAATGTAACATTTCCCTCGAGCGTGGATAGTTAAAACAACATTGCAATGTCCTTCCTTTTTCCTGCAGTGCGAAAATTTACCTATGGCAGTCCGATTTAGTGAGCAGTCTG